TGGCGAGGAAGACACCTTGTATGTCCTACACCTAAAAGATAACGTGTATAGGCGGGCGGCAATGGCCGATCATCTACCTAAACCCACACTCGGGGACCTAGGAGGCATAGAGGGATTCGATCAGTCTGGTGGGGGAAACGCCTCGTACGTCCTACGCTTTAAAAACGGTGTGTACATACGGCAGTCCCTGATAGACTTAAAAGAACCCAAATGATTGATCAACAAGACCCTCACCGCACCTTATATCTCCTTAGACAAAGATGGCTCTGTCTCCGAAATTAGGAACAACAGTATCTTGTTCACGTCTTTCATTTCATGTGGCCCCAGGCTCCACACTCATCATAGAAGTCGCTTGCAAGGGTAAGTTTGATGACTTAGACCTGAACCCATCCCCAAACCTGCGACTTTTACCTGGGGTGACAATACGTTGGGATGACCCGATAATACCAACCCCCCTACCTTGCCGTATCGTTATACGATTGGGGGACCTCCCACTGGGATTACTACCCCCCTTAATAAACTGCTCACATGTTAGTATATACCAGACGTTACCTATTGATCCTTCGCGTGTCTCAACATACGAGAATCCAAGCCTTGTAAGCCTTAAGTACGTTGATCGGCTATTAACTGAAGCTCAATTAAAAAATATCCCATAAGATATATTATATGCACACAGGATGGGTTTATACCCAGTCGTAGAGGAAGTCGCGAAGACCCTGCAAACCGTAGACGGGTTCCGCTTGAGACAGTTATGTGATGTAAAACGCCAACTAGAACAAGACCGCGACACCCGGAAAGCTTTATATAAGAACTACCATAGAGCTTTCAATATCGTGGACGGGGACTGATACTGCCCTTATGGCAACCAGCATGGGACTAGGGGCGGCAGGTGTTGGGTTGTTAGCGACCATCGTGGCCGCACCTATAGTGCTAGGCATTGAAATAACAGCTGGGGTTGGTGTTTAAGTTTGTATCCCACAGACTGCATCATAAAGCGTTGAAACACGACGAGATCAGGGTTCTGGCCGAAGCAAAGCTGAACACGGTAAGTGAGCGTATTTCCACAGCACTCACTGACAGTAAGATCTCAGAGGAGGAATTTCGTTCAATCCTCTCTGAACTCGACAAGTACCCTAAGATGAAACAAGAAATCCGGTCCAAGTCTCGTAAGTCTGCTATCAGCGAAGACGAGAAAAAAAAGTACATAGAACAGGTGGTACGAAAGGCCCAACAAGCCTTTATTACAAACACCAAAGAGATCATAGGTGATTCACATTGAACTGTTTCATCGAGGTCAACACGTCATAGCGACACTATTGTGCCACGTGTGGCAGGGAAGTTAACTGGAGGTTCAAAAGTAGTAGATATACTGGGGCGAGATCTAAGGGCCTGACAAAAGCTTTATTTGTGAAATAAAGCTTTACAGAGGCTTTTGTTGGACTTGATCTCGGACTGTCATTATATCTACTACTCAAGATAAAGAGGGTGAGAATATAACAAATTGTTAATATTTGGATTGTTCATTTCCTGTAATGCTGTTAATATTGCTTTTGATTCAGTCGCGGAAATAGATTGGTTATCTGGTAGTCTGGTAGATATAACCCTGGATAAGATGCTGGTGACGCTGGATAAGGTGTCACCATCATTGGATCTATCTGTAAATGTAGTGTTGCAAGTAGCATTTTTATTTCCGAATATATTCGTGTTGATAAATGAATTATTTTAGCAGCGGAAATGTGTGATTGTATCCATATTCCAAAGTGTGGAGTAGCGAATGCTCTTTATTTTTTTTTTAAAGGCACAGACATAGGCTGTATTGGGTTAAAGGGAACGTAATGTAGAAATATGCTATAGGGATAACTATATTCGACGTGGTTAGAGGGAAGGTTCGTCTGCCTCCACATGTAAATGTGTTGATTTGTTTCCCACTTCCTAAAATTTAGTTCTGTTAAATCCATGTCTGACTTCACTAACTGTCATGGTGGTGAGAACAAAAGTTGGGTAGGGGCTATATTATCCAATCGCCTACGCAGAGCTCCATGCGGCCAGCCAGCATAGTATCTCTGCCACAGGCCACAAAAATGTGACGATTCGTCACATCTTGAAATGTCCATTTAATATAATGTACAGATTTCTTTCACTCTTTTATTTTTGACGAGTTTACACATCTAACCAAACATCTTTAATAGAATGGTTTAGTTTCACTGAGAAAATATCCAAAAACATCTAACAATATTTCGATTGAAGCGATCCGTTGTTTACATAGGGTTGTAATGGCTCCACGTGCTGTCATCGGGCCGATTGGAGAGCAAACGATGCAGCCAGTTTGATATCTTAATATGTACTGTCATAGACCTAACTGTCGCAGTTGTGGAAGAATATATATGTAACAATGTAAAACATTATGAAGAGAGCGCCGAAAAGCTTTCGTGAGTCCAGTCTCTTCTTATTACGAATATGCGCGTTTGATTACAAACAAGAGAAAAGTCCGGTCACGTGATATGCAAATTAGCCTGTTGCAATGATGTTATGTTAAGTCATCGCTGTGCCGGAGTGTGTATATTATCCTGATTTATTTTAGCAGCGGAAATGTGTGATTGTATTCGTATTCCAAGGTGTTGAGTAACGAATGCTCTCATTTTTTCTTCTTTAAACGCACAGACATAGGGTGTATTGGGTTAAAGGGAACGTAATGTAGAAATATGTTGTGAGGATAACTATATTCGACGTGGTTAAAGGGAAGGTTGGTTAGCCTACACATGTAAACTGAAAGTTTGGAAGGCAAAAGCCTCAGACCTTGATGGTGAATAGAATTATGTTGTTGTTTTTTTAAATTGTGTTTACAATCTCCGCCATAAATGATGGAGCCGTAAACAAGATTAGTGTTATAGAGTTGGGGAGGGTTTTTCTGATCACCTCACGAATTGATGCAAACGGCCCCGTAAACCAAAATCATGTAAATCTTTTAAAATACCATGTTTCCAGACCCTATATTGGTTACATCTACGTGGGTTGTCAGTCCAGATTTGATGAGGTCATCATGCGACGATAATCGATGTCGTATTGGCTATACCATATATATTCATAAATACATGTTAAAAGGTGAGGATCTTCCCTTCTGTATCCCTTGTAATGCTAGAATCACGGTCAAGCATCTCCTGCTTGAATGTATTGATTTTTCCATCACAAGGAATAAATATTTCAATTTCAAAACAGTGAAGGATCTTTTTAATGCTAATTATCATTTAATTACTTTTTAAAGAAATTGAACAAATTGATAAATTTTGTTGATATGTTTTGTAAATAGATATATATTTTATTATGGGTAGCTTAAAATTAGCAACAGTTACTTGGGTTGTTGGTGGCTCTACGACTTTATACTTACTAGATTTTTTAAACGTGTTATTTGTGATATTTTAAATTATGACTATATTTGGCTACAATCGCCAGCGGCTGAAGAATTGAGTAACTCCAACTAGGATCCATGCAGGTAGCAAAAGCACTGTCAGTTCCTATAAACCTTAGTATGGTGATCTACCTTCAGTTGTTGGCGAACTTTAACCTGTGCTAATATTGTATTGTCTTCGTAAACTAAAAAGTATTACATTTACATGCTAGTTTTAAACACCATCTGTGATACTCTAGTTATTTTAGAAACCTTCGATGACAGGTTATTTATTATATTTGTTGTGCATGGAAAACCCTTCTCGTCACTATATGGATGAAATATTGCCGGGTGACGTTTAGTTTCATCACACTCACACATCATGTTTTAAATCGAAAAAGACACACACTGCATGTTATTTATTAATTTTGGCATTTTTGACAAGAGATTCCAAACGCACTAAATGATCAATTTTTTCACGGAAACCACATTGTATGTCAATATGTAGATTATTGGTTTCCTAGTACCAAATTAATCGATTTATGACTATGCTTTTCATGGGTTTGCAAACGCCACTAGTTCTAGTTCTTCGATGATTTGAAGGTTTAGTATGGTCACGTCCAAGTTTAGAAATTGGAACAATTATAGCGTCACGTCATGAAGAAGGAAATTCCCCTGATGTCCAAATACCATACAAAATATTTGAAGGGTCTCCAAACATGACTCTGGTAAGTGCTTCAATAGCTGCAGTGTCACCTCGAGAAAGTCTATGTCTCCAGAAAGTTTGTGTTTGCCACAATAAACCAGAATAGTTTCATCGTTGGCACAAACTAGTTTGCAAATATATCATAATTCAAGAACATTTGATGTTAAGACGTTATGTGAAAGGATATTATGTTGGGAACACAGAACATCATATCTCAGATAGCATGACTGATCTGTGAGTTCACAAGCTTGAAAGAGACATATTAAGATGAGAATCGTGTACTCCTCTGCTTGATACACTTACCTTCCATACAGACCTTTTTACATCCTTTATCCACACATTGGGAAGTCTCATTGCAGACCTCAGATCCACAGGATGCAGTAGGGACCTTTAGAGAGAAATAATATATCTCTCTACTATCAATATAATGTCAAGAGTTCGATATATGTTAATACAGAACTTTTGTTGAAGATAACTTCAGGTCTACAATAGGCCTTTACTCTACAAAAAAACGTCAGGTTTACCAATGACTCTATCTATGTATGTGTCGATGCATAACTTTTGTTGTCAATTATATCATGGGGTTTATTTAATTTTTGGTCAGTATCGAATTGTTTACCTCAAGCATACCATGCGCCTTACCTCAATACATGTAAGTATAGACCATTCTACATCCGGCATAGCATGGGCCTTATCTAAATATATGTCGACATACAACATTTACATTACATATCCCAAAGGAATTAATGACAACATATTTCAATATTCATTTTCTTTACGAAAGGTGAAGCGACAGACGACACACTGTACACAGATAAAAAAACATCTACACACGCTTGCACTTACATTACACACATCAACACACGCGCACACACATACACGCATATATATGACATAAACATCACTTACACTGGAATGAGTCTCTGGATGGATACTGGATCTGCTCGTCTTCTCAGTCTTCTTGGATTCCTCACTTGATCGACGACAGGATGCAAATATGTAGGAATCTTCAATACATTCAGCCTGGCACAACTTCATGTTAACATTTCTAAAAAAGACAGATCTGCTCTTCATCTTCTCTGTCAACTGAAGTCCACATTCCTTTGTGCTGCGCGTGGAAAGCACAACTGTGAAGTACACAGCTGATGTTAAAGCAGCCTGCAGACCGTTACTTGAACACAGCAGCAACATCATGAAGTGTGCACAGTAGACTACAGACTCCACACACTGAGTTGAGGACTACTGGAGACAGCTGCACAACTGGTAGGTGCTTAGCTCATAACAGAATGAATATTGATATGAATCAGTTTTTCTGGGCTCACGGGAGATTTCCCACGTAACTGTTGAGTGGGCAGCAATCAATAAAGTAAGATCAGCAATACTACGAGGCTAACTGATCAGCTTAAAGGTTTATGACAACGAACAGACCAGTCACATACTAATCCGTTTCACAATAGACCAGCCACATACCCCATCACCATCCCAATAGGCCAACCACATACCCCATCACCAACACAATAGACCAGCAACATACCCCATCACCAACACAACAGGCCAGCCACATACCCCATCACCAACACAACAGGACAGCCACATAACCCATCACCAACACAACAGACCAGCACCAACACAACAGGACAGCCACATGCATCATCACCAAACACAACAGACCAGCCTCATACCCCATCACCAACACAACAGGACAGCCACATACCCCATTACCAACACAATAGACCAGCCACATGCATCATTACTAAACACAACAGACCAGCCTCATACTCCATCACCAACACAACAGACCAGCCACATACCACATCGCCAACACAACAGGACAGCCACATACCCCATCGCCAACACAACAGACCAGCCACACACCCCATCACTAACACAACAGACCAGCCACATGCCCCATCACCAACACAACAGACCTGGAATGTGTCACTAACCAGTGGTCTCATCATCATCATCGTCATCATCATCAAGAGCTACATCACTTGTATCAAATGCAGTAGGGGAAGGGGGGAGCCTGCTTGATTATGTTGCATGTTTGTAGTATCTGTAAAACCAAATTAGGTTATGCTGTCGTTTCCGTACATATTATCAATTTTATATGGCAATTAATAACACAAGTATGAAACTTGTATTGGGGTGCTTAATTAAGTTCTATGTGTATATTGTCTGTATAAGAAAATGAGATTATGCTCTGGTTGCGTAGACATCATCTATATTACACGGCAAGGAATAATAAAGTATTGAACTCAGCGACGTGTAACAACAATTCTGTGGGACCTGAATAATTCAGACAGCTTATTTACATCTAATATGCAGATTTGGTTAGTCCTGAGTGAATGTAGCTGATTGAATGTCACACAATTCCTTAATGTTGGCATATTGACATTCATGTATGAGTGAGTTTCTGAATGAGTGGGTTAAAATTTAATATCATCTCGGCAATAATTCAGCCATTTAGTGACGAGAAAGGTTTTGCATACACAATAATTACAACTTGTTAAATAATTAGCCATCGAAGGACTGTAAAATAACTGGACTATCACAGATGTTGTCTAAAACTAGCATGGAAATCTAAAACTTTTTTATTTACGAAGACAATACATTATGAAAATTGGTCGCCAACAACTGATCACCATGCTAGGGACCATGGGGACTTACAGTGGTTTTGATACCTGCATGGACCCTAACTGGATTTACACTATCCCTTCAGCTGCTGGCGATAGTAGGAAAACTGAGCCATAATTAAAATTAAGAAGTATTAAAAGCTTGGTAGACCTAAATTGGCTTTGAATGTTTGGCAACGTATGTACCCTTTCAGGGAGACACGAAATTACTTTGACCCCCTTTGAGGATACAGCCACTAACAATCGCAGTTGCTAATTTATACTACCAGTTATAAAATACCATTCATACTGCTTGACCGTGATTCCTTCATCACAAGGGATGCAAAATAATAAGTATTCGTGTGTACACTGCGTGTGGTCAATGCGACATCGTCGCATAATCACCTCCTCAAATCTGGACTGACAACCCATGTAGGAGTAACCAATATAGGGTTTTATTTGATGTAACCTACTTGGATGTCTCACTTCTTCTGCATCAGATCACGGATGTATGATGTAATCAGAGCTTTGTAATCAGAGTATGGAATAACTAACAATGGGATACACCGCCCAAATTTTCTCGCTAGGTGGCGCGAGTGTACTAGAGGTTATAGCGGGAAACCGAAAGTCAGCTTGATGTGTCCACAAAGAATCTATGGAAACCAGGGACAAGCGATGTCGTCTGTCGGGCCCACTTTACCGATGGCGATTACGTGGATACATTATTAGTTACGTAAAACACGGTGTTTTTGTTTGTTAGGGATGACACACTATTTGATTATGCATGATTTTTTAACTACAGTCTTGTATTTTACCAAAAACAAAGTTGAGAAATATGCTTTTCTTCGAATATTTTTATGTAAACATGTTAGTTCAGCTGAGAATAATTATGAAAGAGTTACAGAAATAGATTATAAAGGAATGATATTTGAATGTGATATCTTGAACATTATTGTCATCTGTAGATTATGATTCAAAAATAGGTGTATATCTCTATCTGAACGTAATTACTGTATATTAAAGTAGCATTTTTATAGAAGCATGTTTCACCAGTGTTTTCATTGATTTCAAATTAAGAAAAATGGTATCAAGATTCTGTTCTCAATTTTAAAACAAATTACACACAAAGCATACACAGACTCTTAGACAATGAATATTGATTTATTCCATGTTCTCAAATTAATTTCATTATGATTATTGCATGGTTGTTTGTTTAATGTTTGTTCGTGTTGCTTTGTGTTTTAAGGACCAATAACAACCATGACAAGCCTGAAGCTTCCGACTGAAGAATCCCCCAAGGAAACCTCGGAAACTAAGTTTTGTATGGTTTTATATTATTAGTAAACTCTAGAAGTAATGTTCAGATAAATTTGTGTTTCATCTACATAAAATCACAAATTACATCAATTTTACTTTAGTATCAATGCCTTTTAAGTACAATTTATAGCTTCCTACTGATTCTGTAGAGTTTAAAATCAATGCCATTTGTGTGTTTAAATCAGATAAAATTGTTACCTTTCATGTTTTGGTATCTTATGTTAAAATCAGGTAAAAGAAGTCGTCTCCGGACAGGTGCGGTTCCTTCGATCTTCCCCATACATCGTGCATGTCAACGTTACCATCTCGACCAAAGAGAGCACATCAACTCAAGGAAGAAGAAGCTGACCAAGCTATATTGGATGTATCCGAAGAGGTGGTAATTGGTAGCAGAGAGGATATTGATATGATCAGCACAGCTAACTTGGATGAGCCTGTAGAAATATGCCAAAGTAACTCTCAGTCTGCTCAGTGCACTTCGTTAGGATCTTATATCAATAATCCCAAAGCTGTATTGTACTACTCTGGTTTCCGTGATTATGATCACTTTATGTTTTTCTTTCACTCGCTTGGTCCAGCAGTTTTGAACTGAATTATCAGTGTGAAATGTTGCATCCAAAAGACAAGTTATTTCTTACATTAATGCACTGTCATTGGATCCAAAACAATATCTTCTCGACTACCAAATAACAGCTCTATTTTCACAACAGAAGCAAACGCCATCTTAATAGCTCTTAAATATATTAATAAACATCGTAAATATAAACAATATATCATCTTTTCAGATTCTCTTTCGTGTCTTCAGGCTATTAAAAATCTTTCTTGCAAACATCCACTTTTATTAGAAATTATTGAATTGTACAATGAACTTGCTACTGGCCAATGCGACATCGTCTTTTGTTGGTTACCCAGCCTCGTTGGCATTTCTGGGAATACAATGGCCGATCTTGCTGCTAAGGCAGCACTCAACAAATCTGTGACACCACTTCTAATTCCATACTCTGATTACAAAGCTTGCATTAGAACATACATCCGCGATCTAATGCAGAAGAAGTCAGGACACCCAAGTAGGTATTAATAAATTACATGGAATAAAACCCTACATTGGTTACACCTACGTGGGTTGTCAGTCCAGATTTGAAGAGGTCATTATGCGGCGATGTCGCATTGGCCATACTAGATATACCCATGAATATTTGCTTAAAGGCGAAGATCCTCCGTTTTGCATCCCTTGTGATGAAAGAATCACAGTCAAGCATGTCTTGCTTGACTGCATTGAATACTCCATCACAAGGGATATCTATTTCAAATCCAAATCTCTGAAGGATCTTTTTAATAATGTCAGTTCTCATTTAATTATTGCATTTTTAAAAAAAATAGATTTGTTGAGTGATTTGTAAATAGATATATATTTTATTATTGGTAGTTTAGATTAGCAACTGAGATTGTTAGTGGCTGTATCCTCAAAGGGGGTTGAAGTATTGTAAAATTATTGTCCTCCTGAGAGGGTACGTAAGTCCCAAAAATTTAGTCAATCTAAGTGTACCTGCTTCTTAATCGTAGAATAAGTGTGTTTTTTAATTTATGGCTCGATTTCTCTTCTGTCGCCAATGGCTGAAGGGATGGTGTAAATCCAACTAGGGTCCATGCAGGTAGCAAAGTAATGTAAGTCCCCATGGTTCCTAGTATGGTGATCTACCTTCAGTTGTTGGCGATATATAGCCCGTTTTTATATTGTATTGTCTACGTAAATAAAATAGTTTTACATGTTCATGCTAGTTTTAGACTCCATCTGTGATGCTCTAGTTATTTTACAGTCCTTCGCTGACTGATTCTTTAGCAACTTGAATTTATTATTTATATAAAACATTTCTCGTCACGATATGGCTGCAATATTGCCGATGTGACGTTAAATACTAACTCACTCACTCACTCTTACATTAATGAAATTAAGACAGGCCAAAGACGATGTTGAATTAAGCTTCATGTTTGGCATATCATCATCCACTGTTTCTCAGATCGTGATAACATGGATCAATTTCTTATATTTCCAACTGAAAGAACTACAGATATGGCCAACAAGAGCAACAGTTGATGATCACATGCCAACAGACTTCAGTAAGAAATTCACAAACACTAGAGTCATTTTGGGTGCAACAGAGATTCCTATCAAAAAGCCACCGCATGTAGATGCTGAGAGCATGACATGGTCCAGCTTCAAACATCAGAACACATTAAAAACCATGATTGGCTGCACACCCAGAGGGGCAGTTTCATTTATTAGTGAATCATATGGGGGTTCAGAAAGTGACAGGCAGATAGTGGAGCAGTCTCCTTTGCTTAACCCATCACATGGTATGTTTGAGAAACAGGATAGCATTATGGGCGACAGGGGCATTATGGTTCAACATTTATTTGCAGCCCAAGATATTCAAGTGAACACTCCAACTTTATTAAAAGGCAAATAACAATTAGAACCAGAGGATGTTGTGAAGGACAGAAGAATTGCTTCAAATAGGGTCCATGTTGAACGAATGATTGGTCTAAGTAAGACTTTCAAAATTTTGAAGAAACATCTTCCACCCAGTAAAGTGGTACTTGGAGCACGGATTGTTTATGTTTGTTTTGCTATTTAAAATTTTAGAAACTGCATTGTTAGTGAATTTGCATGAATCTCTTCTTCACAACATCTTACAGAATTTCATGAATTGATAAAATGTGATGTTCAGCATATATTGACCTGACATGTGTAGACTCAATGCAGATGTTATTTGTCATTGAATCTCCCAACTCCTTTACTGTAATTTTGTTCTATGTAAATCACCACTGTGATATGATTCCCACTCTGTTGAAAATTACTTCATTATTACACCAACTTTGTTTCAAAAGTAAACTTAATGATTTCAGTAACCATTTGATATCATCCATCTGCAAACAAAACAGTTTTTCCATAGTGAATATGGGTGCACATGATTCTATACTATGACTATATATACAGGTTTCTGGATAAGTAATGCATTGGTATACTTCACTATTTGAACAGCATTATAACCAGGAAAGTCATATCTTTCGGCTATAACCTTCCCAAACATCAATTAATCAGATATCAGAAAGCAGTGAGTTTTCAACAATCATCTTGACTTATGTCAGTCAGGTATAAAGGCATTCTTAGTGAGAATTCCATAGGAATAGCTATTGAGAAGCTGCACCAATGATATAAAGACTTGCTTCCCTTTGTACACACACTAAGTATTAGATCTTCATAAATATTCAACTGTACACTGTCAAAGTAAATTAAGTATAACAATTTATACGTATGTTATTGTCAATGACACAATTTTCATATCGATAATCATTACAATATTACAGATTATCGATCTATTCAGTCAACTCTAGTTTATTCATGGCAACAAGGTTACATGCTAATAGCTTGACACACTGATAACAGCGGTAAGGTATGCATGTTCCCCTCCAAATAAAACTACATGATGTGTGTATATGGCAATATTTTGTATTGAATGTGACATGCCAGACAAAATACTTTTTGGTTGACATGAAAACCTCTCTGGAATAATATGTTTTCTTAAGTAAAGATAGAGTTACACACAAGTGTAAGGCTACTTACAGTGTGTGTAGAGATATTGTTAGACATCTGATATATGCCTTTATACATCTCTATTAATGTAATAACCTGCTCTTATTGACATAGAAAGACTTGATCTTTTTTCAATGTAACAGATGTTAGATGCTGTTCTGACATAAAAGGTTGTTGAACTGAGAATGGGTATATGTTGTTTATAGACAGTGGCAGTCTGTTACATACCCAAGCACAATTCATCTGGGGTAGGCGACTGAACCACAATTATGTATTCATCAGCATAGAGATGACCTTTTCATTACATTTGTATTATCCATAACACCTACTACTTGCCAGATCCCTCTAGCATTGTCATAATGTTAGTGTGATTGAATGAGTTTCTTTTACACCGCTTTTAGCAATATTACAACAATATCAAAGCTCCGCTTTGGTCCCCGGCTGGTTTTCAGAGTTTTTCTCAAAACTTCATTCTCATCCCTGCATATAGTAAACAGTACAGGACTGGCATCAACACTTACTCATATGCAGATTCTAGATATTTCTTTCAGCTCTAAAGATCTAGTAAGTGATATTCCAAGGTAAGTATTACCTGTTTATATGCTTCATCCTATGTCGATTCTTAAGAAGCTGATTTGGCATAAGAAGTCTAATGACTCAAAGAAAGTACAATATTGTCATCAAAAAAGGTCAGCAAATATTTATAATACATCTTGATATATCATTTTCAGAATCTGAATTATTTTCAAGCTGTTCATTTCGGAAAGAAATGGATAATGGACTTAATAATGTTAATCCACAAGTTTGATAGATACCAAAGTGTAATTCAACGTACCAATCAGGTTATTACCATTGGAGCACACACAAGCTCGTGACTGACCCAAACTGACTAATAGTACTAAGAGTTGTTGGTGATCTATAGCCCATTTTTATATTGTGTTGTCCCCTGTGGTTAAAATGTTTTAGACTCTATTACTAGTTTTATCTGTATATGTGATATTCTAGTTGTTTTACTGCCCTTCGTTGGCAGGTTTTTTATAATATACATATTTTTCACTTCAATATCAAATGTTCTCGTCACGATATGGCTGAAATATTGCCGATGTGACGTTAAATATTAACTCACTCACTCACTAATAGTACTAAGTGGCCATCTTATGATTTACAATGTAGAAGCAATGTATGGTCTTAGATATTTCATATAGAACAGTTCAAGTTTTTTGAACCAATGAGTATTGATACAAATCCTTATCAATACTGATCATTTCTACAAATATGTCACAGAATGTGTTAACAACAAAATAACAAAATTGACGCTTTGCTATGTACATTTGTCCCTGAACCTGACAGTAGTAGTGACTAGTTTGATTCAAACAAATTTGATTGTTGACATTATAATGAAGGTATGGACATTTTTTACCAGGTTTGATGTAATCATTCCTTTCTGTATATGGGCATTTCACCTCCAGGAGGCTGTCCTCATCAATAATGACATCTGGTGTAGCGCCCAGAAAGGGTTCCGAAGAAGAAACAAACAGACCTGCTTTTTTGGTTTTGATGTTGTACACTGACTCAAATGTAGAAATGGCTTTTTTTCTCATATTGCTTTCCATGAATGACAGGCTTACATGATAATATTTTTGTTGACACAACTTCTCTTTATTTCTTCTGTTGGTCAATTTGGTCACTCCACCAAACCTTGAGGCTGTGATGCGCCACTTTCTTTCCCTGTGCCACACTGGGCTCTTACTCTGGTCCCGTGTTGCTGCCTCAACATCTCTTGCAGATTCTTCAGTAAACTGGAAAACACGAATATAGAGACATTAAAGAGCTGTTTAAAACTATGATGCTTGAAATATTTGCCTTTATTAAATATCGGTTTTCTGAGAAGTAGAGTAAATCAAAATTCGTTTTTTACAACGATGGAATCAATCTACTTAATCATGTTCATTAGCATGATTATTCCCTTCCAATGTATTTTACAATTGACTCATTAATACACAACATGAAACTATGAGATGTTGTATATGGTTTGCCTTACAAACTTTGGTTTCAAGTGTGTACTGCAGAGATAACAAATATGAATGACTCTCCTCATGTTCAATATACATATAGGTAAATATCTACTTATTATTATCAAACCAGAATTTGAAGTATTGTGTACCTTTAGTGCACTGTCAACCATGTACTCCTTAAGTGGCTTTTTCAGATAGTCATGATCATCAGCCGCTGTCTGTAAAATCAGCCTTTGGGTGCAGATATTTGAAGGCATTATCATGCGATGCTGAGGCACAGCAACCACCATCTTGCGTACACGGGCATTATATCCACTCATCTGGCTGTATTTCTGTGGTCTAGGATCTTCCAGCATGTGGTGGGACCATTTTCCTTTTGATGGTATTGATTGAGCTGTTACTGGTGATCCTGAATGAAAAATGATCATAAATTGCAATCATGATTGTATTCAAACTTACTTGCTCAATACATGAAAATACACAATGCCATTTTAGAAAGTGGTCAAATGTAACATATGTTAAGTTATATTTGGGATTACACCCGTATGGGACACAACCCAAAAGTACTAGGAAATTTGCTCAGTACATTAAAATACAAACTTTTAAAATCTCAGAGCTGCTCTATCAGTTCCATATCCAGCACAAGTGTTTCCTAAAATATTGTTTCTTTTCATATCAATTCATACATCAGCTAACAGAGACATTGGTGTGACATTTCCTTTGGCTCTAGTGTTTAACACAGACATACCTTTGTAAGGTTTTTGGATTTGTGGAACAACTGCAAGTTTTCTTTTGCGCTCTTCCCAACTTGCACACTGCCAGTAGAGATGAAATGCTCTAACATTAAGAGCACTGCCGCAATGTGTTTGCAGGTGGAATGCGGACCCTTCCCTGCTGGACCCTCACAGTGAGAATTGACTGGCTCCCCGGTCTTTTCCACCTTTAGTCTGTAGTTGTATGTGACCTAGGACAGAGTGAGTGAACATAATTTCACACTTCTCTTAGCTATAACATAATAAGGGACACCAGAATTTGACTTCACCCATTGTGCACAACAAGAGAGAACCAGGCCTTCAGCATAACTAACTAACACCTTAATCCTTAGCTACCCAGCCAACCATAGGTTTGTGGGCACGCATTATATTTTATATTTAAACAAATTAAATTCAATGTCGTCTTTCAATTTATCATTTCTTGTAATTTTAAAAGGTTTAAGAATTTGTTTTGAATTTCTGAATTTATATTATACCTTGTTTTTCATTGATGCACTGACAATGCCGCTGAAGTAGACATCAGTAGATGACATGTGAACACTGCATGCCAGCACCCTGTCCTCTTCAAACATCAGTGTACCTTTATGTATGGCCTTGACATCTTGTGTGGATTGCAGGTCTCCTGCCAGGCGGAAGATGGAGTAGCCTTCTATCGTTTCTTTAGAAATTGGAGGCAGTCATTCCACGATGGGAAGGTGTCAGCTGTAAATATCCTGACACTGGCCATATTGTGTCTACTGGACATGAAATGGAGACACACGGCCCGACAAAATCATCGTTTCGGTCATATGATTCAAGTCTGAAATGAAATATTTCAATACATGGAATTTGTGCAACTAATATTTGAGAATTTGCATTAGCGCCTAATATCATATGTGAAAATAATTCACATTACCATAATCAGTTTGACTACAAGATATGTCATGATATTTATCCAATGAAACATATGAATGAAGTATATGCTGTCATAATGTGTTATATTCTTTACACTTTGACATTCCATGATTTCCTATAATTATGACAACGACAAAAATTAAGTTAATTTAATCTGTAGAACATGACACTGAATGTCACATATAAGTAATACATGTATTATAAATATCTGGTATGCATTATCTTCCTGTAGGCTAAATTATCTTATTAACTTATTTTCAACCAAACCGATTGTTCCTATGATATGAGAAAACGAAATGCACTATAACTCGACTGTTTCGTTCGTTAAAGGAATAATTTTAAAAGACAAGTGCCAAACGCCCAAACACATCAGGTGGTCGAAAACCGGACAGGAATCGCAGTTCGACGAAAAGATTCCAGACGAGGAAAAAGCAAATCAAATTTATCAAATATTTTTTTCTACTGAACATAGCTTATTTCTGCTGTGGAAGACGGCATCTACCGGTATGAACACGGACTTTTATCCCCCCATCCCGCGAAATTGCAGAAATGGTGTCATTGGCGTTTCGGAAAAAGTAAAATTGCTGATAAGCGAAAATATAAAGTAAAGTCGGGAGCCATCGAGAGTGCTTTGGTTATTGGTACCTAATATATCACAGGAGGTCATGGCTTCATAGACTACAACAACTGATTTAGTCACTGACAGTAGTTAGTACACAACACCGTGACAGAAACAGTGCGGTTTTGTCAGGTTGGAAAAAAGGGCTGGTGGCGAGCAGAAACTGCAGTGACTATAGAAGATTATGAATGAAAGTCTTCTTGATAAATAAAAAAATAGGTTACATTCCTCTCGATCAGTGCAAGTTTCCTTCCTGCTGTCGAAGCTTTTCTTTGGCGAAGCTCATATTTCAACTTTGGTACAGACCTGAGACTTTACTGGCTTGCCATGTTTAGAGTAAATTTGGTAGCGGCTCTATTTGAAATTCGCGGGAATAATTCGCGGCGCATTCGACTTGCGGAACCATCACAGGGCATAACCTCTAGTACACGCACGCCCCTGGCGAGATTAGTACGGCGGTACGCCCATTGCAGTTGCCAATTTATACTACCATGTTTAAAATATCATTTTGGCACCCGTGAAGAGCCACCTCCTCGTGGTGGATGCTGGGTAACGTTAAGCTCTTCAACCCCGTTGTGGACCGGGGTATATTTGGTCCAACAACCCGTTTGCCGTGGGTTTGCGCCCTGTCGGTGGAGGGCGGGGAGTCTGGTGGTTGAGGGCACTGTGTGCCTGGAACCGTGTTCCTTTGCCCAACACACCACTTCGCCCCTTACTTCCAGCTAGACGGGTGGTAGAACTGGCCCGGTTCTATCAATCGGCTGGTCACGCCATGCCCTGTGCATAGAAAGTATTTTGCACATTTGAATTATTGGGTATTGGTAATTTTGATTGTCTAGTATACAAATTATTGTTAAATTTATTGCCTAGAGTCCTATGCCAGAAGGCGGTGGCTCATGGGCCAATCTGGTGATTATGACCACTAAATTCTGTATGTCTCAAGTTTTTGTTTAGAGCCGAACCAGCCTGACATTATATTTGGTAGACAGTTATAGCTATTTATGTCGTATTTACTGGAGTATATCACCCTTGTATCCCTGGTGTTTGCATGCTGGATATCCGATGCTATTAGACATTGTCCGTGTTGACACTCTGTGGTGGGTGGGGAGCAGGGGTGCTGATTCACATTCCTTTCATCATGTCACAACAACAAGCTGGTTCATCTCGCCATGAAAGAAACGGCGTATTGACGACATAGATCAATCAAGTGACCAAACAAATATAAGTGTTGATTCTTACATGCAATAAAACAAACCATCAGGTTACACCTACTTGGAGTTGTCAGTCCAGATTTGAAGATGTCATCATACGACGATGTCGTATTGGTCACCTAAGATATACTCATGCATACCTTTTGAAAGGTGAGGATCCTCCGTTTTGTATCCTTGTGGTGAGAGAACCACAGTCAAGCAGGACATGCTTGACTGTGTTAATATCCATCACAAGGGATAACTATTTCAAATCACGAACTATGAAGGATCTTTTTAATAATGTCAGTTCTTATTTAATTCTTTAATTTTTTAAAAGAATTAAATTTGTTAAAATGATTTTTGAGTTAAAATTTAACGTCACCTCGGCAATGTTTCAGCCATATTGTGACGAAAATGTTGGGCATACACAATAAATACAAGTAGGTAAATAACCAGACATCGACGGACTGTAAAATAACTAGAGCATCACAGATATGGATATAAAATTAGCATGGAAAAGCTAAAACATTTTAATTTGAACCGGTGGTGATAACTGGATGAAGATAAGTGGCCGGATCATCACTGAAAAAATATATTATACATAAATAAATTCCTCAAAGTTTTACAATTATTTTCGTATGTTCACTTCCCAAGTGTCCGTTCAGGTCACCCATGATAACACATAGCTTTGGAAGCTAATCATAGAGATCTTGAAGATCCAATTGTCGAATATTAAACGGAGGAGGACGATGCAAGCTGCACAGAGTCAATGCAATGTTAAGAGTTAAACGAACAGCAACAGTCTGAAGATGGGATAGGCCTATGTATGCCATCCTGACTCACCCAAATTGAAGCGACACCTCTTGTTCTATCTCCTGGAGGAGAGAAAGGTGTGGTACTGTACTGTCATAAATCCCACAGTTATCAGTATTTTTAGACATGTCTCTTGGAGATATGATGCTGACAGGAAATCTTGAATTAGCGACTGAATTTCGTTGATGTCCTCTGCAGTTCCACTGAACTATATTTGAGCGAGTGAGTGAGTTACAATTTGAAGTCACATCGGAAGTATACGAGCAATAACAAATGTGACCTCTACCAAAACTGACATTGAATCAATAATACATCTCTTTTGCGAATGTACAAAAAGTTAGCCATATCTGGAGAGAACTAGAAGATTGGATCGAGGAGAAAACAGGAATAAAACTAGATTTTACCAAACAACATATCCTATTTGGCTATCATGAAAAGCGAAATGATGTTGTAAAATCTCATCATATAAAGAACTAAATTCAACATTTATAAAGCAAACTTTCAGAAACGACCACCACATTTCAATATATCAAAGAGATATAACCAATGCATATCACATAGAGATATATATCTCATCCTTAACTTCTGATGACACCAAACTATGAAATACCATCAGCTACTAAATTATCAGACCCATTTTGATTAGATATTATGTGTATTGAACTATAGACTATCCATTTGCTGTAAAACATGTACCGGTGAAAAGAAATAACATCATAATTTTTTTTTTTCTTGAAACGTGGTATGTCTGTGGTTTAATTTATGGCTAAATTCGACTACAATCGCCAACGACTGAATATGATATAAATCCAGCTAGGGTCCATGCAGGTAGCAAAAGCACTACTGTAAGTCCCAATGGTCCCTAGTATGAGTGATCTGGTGTTTTATATTGTATTGTCCTCTTTAATTACAATGTCTTAGTTTTACATGCTAGTTTTATATTCATTATCTATGATTCTCTAATAGTTAACTGTCCACCGTCGACAGGTTTGAATCTTCAAAATGTTTTAACTTTGTATTGTGTATCATGTTTTTCGTCATGATATGGCATTAGCAATACATAGCCTGTTTTGTTTGTTTGCATTATATTGTCTTTGTAAATATAACAGTTTGAGATAAATTGCTAGTTGTAAACACCAACTGTGATACTCTTGTTGTATTACAGCCCCTTGGTGATTGGTTATTTAACTACTTGTATTCATTGTGTATTTCTCTTTGCTCCCTCCCTCCTCCTCCCTCCCTCCGTCTCTCCCTCCCTCCCTCCGTCTCTCCCTCTCTCCCTCTCTCCCCTCTCTCTCTCTTTTAACAGATTTTGAAATGTTTAACGTAAATGACATGACATTTTTTTCATCTAGGAGACAATATCAATTTCCAACATACAAGACAAACAAGATAAAGTCTATCTAGGTCGCTCCCTATGAAAATGGAACAGCGTGTCTGGAATTCTTGAGGAGTCAGTCTAGGATCCAAGGACTGTGGCACTGGCAACTTGTCCATGATCATTGGATCTGTCTGTAAAATGGATCTATGCCTGTTATACTTGGAACATAAATGGTTGTATTCCCTATTCAGCACATGTGAAACCCTAACTTTTGTTATCACAATATACCTAAAGATGCTAAATACTTTTATGCACACAGATTGAATCCGCCCTAGACGAATACATCGCTCCAAGCAAAAGGGCCGCCCTCGCATCGACACAGCCACAACACTGATGCTGGAACTGCGTGAATGTTTCGCTCAAGCCATCGATGAGTCACTGGAGGACTGAATAACAGAGAGTGCTATGGTGCGATGGGATTTCATCCATGTACAAGACTGCCTCCGACACCTTCGGGAAGAGAGCAAGGAAGAGTTAGGACTGGTTCGATGCAAAGATCGAGGAGATGGAGCCTTCCATCACCATCAAGCATGCCACGCACCTGGAGTACAAAATACAGCCCTCCGAGTCAACACTAGCTGCCTTTAGGGAAGCCTGCAACAGCACCAAGAGGATCGCCCGCAAGTGCGCCAATGACTACTGGCTGAAGCTATGCAGTGATATCCACTCCCTGCGGACTGCAAGCAGATGGAGAGATGGGCTGAGCATTACCAGTAGCTGTACTCGCGAGAAACTGCCGTCATCAACACCTTTGCCCACCACCAAGGAGCTCAGGAAGGCCATCGACTCTCTCTCCGTGGATAAGCACCAGGCAGCGATGGAATTCCACCAGAGATTGTAAAGCCCCGAGTCGTCCTCAACGCTTCCAGCTGCTCGCCGACCAAGTGGACCCTGAGTCGCAATGTGGGTTTCAAGCAAAACGGTCGACAATTGACATGGTGTTCTCATTCAGGCAGCTACAGGAGAAATGGCGTGAACAGAGACGCCCTTGTTCCTAATTTGACCAAGGCCTTTGACCTGGTCAGTCGAACAGGCATCTTCATCCTCCTATACAGGATTGGATGTCCCCCTAAGCTCCTGAAGATTATCACATCGTTCCATAACGACATGGCAGGCACAGTCCAGTACGACGGATCATGCTCGGACCCATTCCCAATCATGAGCGGTGTGAAACAAGGGTGTGTCCTGGCCCCGACACTCTTTGGCGTGTTCTTCTCCCTACTCTTGCTTTACGCCTTCCGCAAGTCTGAAGATGGCATCTTCCTCCATACGAGGAGTGATGGAAACCTCTTCAACCTCACCCACCTCAGAGCAAAGACAAAGGCTCGCAGGGTTCTCATACGAGAGATGCTATTTGCAGATGATGCCACCCTCAGTGCACACTCCGAGGTGACCCTCCAGTGACTCATCACATGCTCCCCAGGGGCAGGCACAGAGTTCGGCCTCACCATCAGCCTCGAGAAGACCAACATCATGGGCCAAGCTGGCAGGATCGAGCCACAAACGCAAGCCCCAGACCGGCATACCAAGCATGCGCTACAGGGACGCCTGCAAGCGTGACTTGAAGGCTTGCACTAAGGTTACTGCACTAAGGTTACCTTAGTGACTTACGATCAACTAAGTGTTTTGTGAAAGACAAAAGATATAGTTGACAGGAGGTCGGTTGCCTGTTGTCTCTTACTGCATTCAACGAGTAGAGAACCTGTCCGCAAACGTTTACCGTTTCTTACATCTCCTGCAATGCCTTGTATGCCTTTTGAAACGGCAAAAGGGTTCACCTTTAAAGAGTCTTGACAACGGTCTCAAGCACTATAAAACGTGGCCAGTATTCAATAGATGTGGACGGTCGTTGGTCATTAACATCAGGATCTGTGTCAAAGAAGACGGGTTTTTCGTAATACGGGTTTCGTAGGCCATGGTTAGTGTGTAAATGTTCATCATCCGAGCTCCGTCCTTCACCGACAAAGGAACGCAACCCACTGCAAACAGGTTGCCCAATTCGCCCTAAGGCCAGCAATGGGGTGCTGTGGACCAAATATACCCCCGGGTCCTCCGGGTTGAAGAGCTCTTAGCGTTACCCAGCACGGGTAAATGTCTAATGTCTAAAATAATTACCGATTTTTGAATGAAATGAATCCACAAAGACGGTGATAATTTCTTCATCCCATCATTCCAATTTTAGGAAATCCAGTTACATGTACCATAAGTCTAGTTTGTTGCACAAGATCAGGTTTCATCCGTTTCTGTGAAAGGGAAAGGTTTCATGCGTTAACATGGTCAATTATCAGAATCGTAATGATAGACAGAGAACAATATTATGTTAATATTATGACATACTGATATTTTATAATATTGTCCCATGTCAGAAAATTATTCGAAAACCATCCACCGCAAAATCTATTACAACTTCGGAAAGGTGAAAAAATGATTATACGCACCGGCAGCAATATTGTGGAAAAGTTGACGACTACAGTTAGATAACAGCTAACAGCAACCAATTGAAGGTGATTAAAAGTTAATAATTATGACACTATATATTTTGATTTTATGGGAATTTGAATCAATTTTAAAACTGTGTCCATGGTAGTTTTCCATCTCGTGCATGTTTTACCTCCATGTGTGCGATGCTGTACGTGCTTCCAGTTTCATCAAGGGTGGATAAAATTACAAATATTGTGATTATTTTTCATGATCTGTATTATTTAGGTATTGATTCGTTTTGTTTTAAATGCATATAAGTACGGATTCTGGCTATGAACACTATCTTTCAAACAACCTTCGTGTCTTGTCACCTAAAATAAACACGTGTTTGGCCATGCCCAATGTCAATGTCGGAAGGTTTATCAAACAAAATCAATATAAACCCGATAAATATCATAATGCCAGCGTTTGACTCAGATGACGGCTGAGCTGTAATGGCCGTGTTTGTTGTAGGGAGAGTAGACTATACCTGATACCTGCAGACGATAGTTTGGTGTAAATAGCAATGGTGAGGAGATAATGCTTTTTACACATTGATTCCAGCGACAATAGTTGGATCTATCAAAAGTATGACGCAATTGTGGGGATCATTCCTATTCTTTCAATCGGTGGTCTATCATTGAGATTGGTTTTGTTTATGACAAAATAAACCGAACGTTACTAACTTGTAGAAAACGGGGAACACAAATATTGATCAAATTATATAGAAAGAAAACGTTTAATTGTGAAGAACATATTAGACAGAGTACCACTCTGCATGATGTTCCTGGAGTCAACGATGGCCGTTATTTGTGGCTGTGTGCTGAGAAATTTAGAAAATACATTTACAGGTAAATAATTATGGCAAGTTTTATTTGAGGATGCCGTTATGCTGCTCTTTTTTCCTTTTTTTATATATGAGACCACAGAATCTGAACATTACGTGTGATTACACGTTATATGTGTGATTGCTAAGGTGGTGTGTACAGCATGTACTAAACACGCAGATAACACTGTACCATATATGGGAAGTAGCAGCTTGTGTACAACGTGTCTGAATCTTGATCTTATTAGGAATCCCCTCAGATTTACATTGTTCGCTGATTGTGTCAGGGTGTTATGTTCAGGAGGTGGCTGTGCATTAGCGGATTCGCCCTGCTCCTTTCACTGCTGCTAACACTAGTACTGTTGCTGTAATACTCTCGCATCATATATGTTCAATGGCAATAGCGTTTTAGCGGTACACCTTTTTCATAGCACTTAAGAGTTGCCTCCTTGGCTGGCTTTATTTTCTTTTGACTTCCTGTCGTATGTTCAACAAAATCCTGCATGGTTCTGAGAGAATAATGAGGGAGACGAGCTTTGCTAGAATGCTCGCGAACTGTGTAAGAGCTATATAAGATCTTTTCACATGACTGGATTTATGCGCAACTGTTCTCACTGTAGATGTCAAGACTGGTTAAATTAATATTCTATATTTGTGACCCAACATTTTAGATTTGTGACTCAATTGCATTGTATTAGAAATCTGTATTGTCATTTTTTGTAGCTTGCTCATTGTTTGTTCAATATATTATTGACTATTTTGGACTTTTCTCAGGCATATTATTAACCGTAACACCACTACTACAACTACTACTACTACCAATACCACTACTACTACTACCACTACTACTACTACTACTACTCCAGCTGCTGCTGCTACTACTACTACTACTACTACAACTACTACTACTACTACTACTATTAGTACTACCACTACTACTACTACTACTACTACTACCACTACTACTACTACTACTACTGCTACTACTACTACCACTATTATTATTACTGCTGCCGCTGTGGAAACTGGTACATTGCTTCTGCTACTGCTACTGCCTTGACAGTTTCCTTTATTTCCATTATAGTCAGTCATTACATCCTGATGCAATCTATTATACATGTAAGCACCCCATGACACAAGAAGGTCCGAAGGGTAAAGTTCTTGTCGACTCGTTTTCCTGGCTCCTGACTCTCTCTGTCTCTCTTTGGTTCTCAGCATTGATGGTTCACAATTCACAGTGACATGACATATTGCACCACCTCCAAATGTCCTCCTTCACGGGCCAATTCAATAACATTTTTACCGTTGCTATCTCTGAGTGAGAGATCAGCTTCATTCTTTACCAATAGTTCCACCACTTCCTTATGCCCGTGTGCTGCTGCTATCATCACTGGTGTCCTCTTCTTGATTCCCCTGGTGTTTATGTCCACTGTGTTCAGTGAGAGGACATATTTCACTACTTCTATTTTTCCACCGCGACAGGCCAAGTTAAGGATATTGCCTGCCAATGGTGCACGGTGTGACAGATCAGCTCCATGTTTTACAAGTAATTCCACAATTTTTTTTTTACCCCTTTCTCCTGCTGTCATCACTGGTGTCCTCTTCTTGTATCCCCTGCTGTTTATGTCCACCGAGTTAAGTGAGAGGAGATATTTCACAACATCAAATTGTCCGCTTTTACAGGCAATGTGAAGGATATCATCTCGTCCTTTTACACTGAGTGACAGATCAGCTCCATGTGTTACCAGTAATTCCACCACTTCCTTATGTCCGTGTTCTGCTGCTACCATCACTGGTGTCCTCTTCTTGTATCCCATGCTGTTTATGTCCACCGAGTTAAGTGAGAGGAGATATTTCACAACATCAAATTGTCCGCGGTTACAGGCAATGTGAAGAATATCATCTCGTCCTTTTACACTGAGTGACAGATCAGCTCCATGTGTAACCAGTAATTCCACCACTTCCTTATGTCCGTGTTCTGCTGCTGCCATCACTGGTGTCCTCTTCTTGTATCCCCTGCTGTTTATGTCCACTGAGTTAAGTGAGAGGAGATATTTCACAACATCAAATTGTCCGCGGTTACAGGCAATGTGAAGGATATTGTCTCCTCCTTTTACACTGAGTGACAGATCAGCTCCATGTGTTACCAGTAATTCCACCACTTCCTTATGTCCGTGTTCTGCTGCTACCATCAGTGGCGTCTTCTTCCGAGGCCCATAACTGTTGACGTCAACCATTTTCTGTGAGAGGATGTACTTCACCGCCTCCATATCTCCCCTCCTACAGGCGCAGTGAAGGATGTTGTTACCTGTCTCATCCACGAATGACACTGTAGCGCCTTTGTCCACAAACATCTCCACCACGTCCTTGTGTCCGTTTGCTGCTGCCAGCATCACAGCTGTTCTCCCACACCGTACTCTACCATTGATGTCCACCATGTTCTGTGAGAGGACATACTTCACCACCTCTACATCTCCTCCAAGACAGGCCGAGTGAAGAATGTTGATGCCGAATCTATCGACGAGTGACACATTAGCTCCTGTACTCACAAGTAACTCCACCACTTCTCTATGCCCCCCACTGGCTGCCCACATCGCTGGTGTTCTACCAATCCACTCTTGACAATTAATGTCCCTCCGTCCCTGTGACAGTATGATTTGCACCCTTGACAGGTCCCCGGTCTTTGAGGCGGTATGGAGATCACACAGTGGAGGGGCTGTAACACAAAGTAAAACTCTATACAAATCTTCGACGACAGTTTGGAAGGTACAATATTAAAGATGTAGGACATCGTATTATATCCGGGAACCGACGGCATGAGTGTTTCATTAGGATGGCTCAGCGTTTATGTGACAAATATGATGAATAAACCTAACTGAAAAAGTTTCACTTGACATCTGAAATTTCTACATAGCTTGAGAGCAGGTGGGTATATCAAGTTATTCAATGTTATCCTGACAGCTAAAATATCTGAATAGCTGGAGGGCAGTATCAGCAGTTGGGTATACCAAGTTATTCAATGTTATCCTACCTAAGAGCTGTAATTTCACTTGACAGCAGAAATATCTGGATAGCTGGAGGGCAGTATCAGCAGTTGTGTATATCAAGTTATTCAATGTTAGCCTACCTAAGAGCTGTAATTTCACTTGACGGCAGAAATATCTGGATAGCTGGAGGGCAGTATCAGCAGTTGGGTATACCAAGTTATTCAATGTTATCCTACCTAACTGCGGTAATTTCACTTGACAGCTGAAATATCTGGATAGCTGGAGGGCAGTATCAGCAGATGGGTATATCAAGTTATTCAATGTTATCCTGACAGCTGAAATATCTGTAAAGCTGGAGGACAGTATCAGCAGTTTGGTATATCAAGTTATTCAATGTTATCCTACCTAACTGTGGTAATTTCACTTGACAGCAGAAATATCTGGATAGCTGGAGGGCAGTATCAGCAGTTGGGTATACCAAGTTATTCAATGTTATCCTACCTAAGAGCTGCAATTTCACTTGACAGCAGAAATATCTGAAAAGCTTAAGGGCACTATCAGCAGTTGGGTATATCAAGTTATTCAATGTTATCCTACCAAACTGACGCATGGCCTGTTGGAACAACCCTGACATTCAATGGAAGTCTTGATCTGTCTGAATAGACTTAGGCAAACTAAACATACTGAAGACTTCATCAAATCCTAATAATGAGCCATATCTTTCTGAAAAGGAACAGCCTCTGGAAACCTTGTCGAAGTACACATGACATTAATCATGTCCTGATTACTTAAGCTTGAGTGTTTGACAATGCACCAACACATGATGCTCCTCCAGAGAGGCTCTTCAAAAAGCTGGAAGCTCAAAAACTTGCTTTTGATATGAATGTGGAAGAAAAATCTGATGAAAACTTTCCCTTCGTTTTGCAACAGGTACATCTGGTGTGAATGTGTATCGTCTTTTGAGGATGGCACATCACAATCCCCTTGAAAACAACTCATGACTACTTTAAGATATACGGTGGGATGCAAAACTAGACCGTCAGTTAAATGGTATGAGTTGCACTTGGAGATCAGAACTAGTTCGGTAGTCACCGACCAAAGTCCACACGCATCTGCAAAATTAATGTTGGTTGCTGTGCTTCTCCGAGAAACCAGCAGATGGAAACAATCGAATGTGACTGGTCAAGTTGTCAAAGTTATCTTCCATCTTCATTCCTGCTTTTACTCCAATCGTTACTGGCGGTGCATTGTACATTGTACATGGGGAACGATAGATCGAAGTACATGGCGGCCATGTAGTGACCCAGGCATAGAGAGAGTTAATTGGTCAGGGGGAATCGGATCGTGGAACGTCAGATGCATGCACTGGCCTTTGTTATACCCACAATAGTAAATGTGTGGAGTGTGACAAAACAGTCAATCGTAATGTGGGGCTTTGAACAGGGTATGATTTTGTATTATTAATTTCCACGTGTCTCTTTATTCAATTAAATCACTCGTGATTCTGTTCCCTACCACTTTGAAGGGTATATAGAGACTATACAAAAATACCCTGACTAATTGTATGAAAACATTTACGTATTTATTGTGCCTTGTCACGCAGTTCAGACTGTGCCAGCAAGGGAGGAAATTTCCTTGACTTGCTTCATGGTCGAGTTCA